TTTTACTAATGAGAATAAATGGGGCTCACTTAATATACTACAGAATTCAGATTAGAACCCAGATACTCTGACTCCAGAAGTGGCATTTTTAAGCACTGTGATCTGTTGTTTCACAGTTTAAAATATGAGTTAACATGGCAACGCACAGAGCCACTGCTAATCTACATGGTGGCTTTGTGCAAATCAGAAAAAAAGAAAAGGCCCTGCCCACCACTGGAACAAATTCAGTTTCCACAGCTTTACAGCTGAGAGTGGAGTTGGCATCTTTGATCAAGCAAACAGGTGCTCCTTCCTCTAAGTGATAAAGGCCCTTGCAGGACACAGGCCTTGGATATCTGTCTCCATTTGCCTCCTCAGCTAGACACCTCCCTAAAGTGTACAGACTCTGTAACTCTATGAGGGGCTTTACCATAATTTATATTAATACGTTTTTTACTTTTATCACTCTAAGGGCTTGCTTGCAAGCTCTCTACACAAATATTCCTTGTTAGCCTCTCCAGATCTAGTCTCCACCTTTCTTCATCCTGGATAGTTGTACCCTGGTGACTTTTGTTATTTTTTTGAGACGGAGTTTCACTCGTTGCCCAGGCTGGAGTACAATGGTACAGTCTTGGCTCACTGCAACCTCTACCTCCCGGGTTCAAGTGATTCTCCTGCCTCAGCCTCCCGAGTAACTGGGATTACAGGCATGCACCACCATGCCCGGCTAATTTTTTGTATTTTTAGTAGAAACGGTGTTTCACCATGTTAGACAGGCTGGTTTCAAACTCCTGACCTCAGGTGATTCACCTTCCTTGGCCTCCCAAAGTGCTGGGATTACAGGTGTGAGCCACCACACCCAGCCACCCTGGTGACATTTATGGACTCAATCAATGGCTCCCTTGAGTGCTGGCTTCCAGTTAGGTTCATAAAATGGAAGGCACCAGCCAGAAGTCCCACGGAAGGATACTGAGGCAGGTATTTTGTCTGTTGGTAGCCTTCTCACTGTGTCGGGAAGCATCAGTAGCTTTGGTTCCCCGTCAAGGCCTCAGTGTGTCAGGCAGCTCTCTCCCGTAGTAACAGCAAGAACCTCTGGTGGCCACTTTGCCCTTCAAGCCTGGAAGCAGTACAAGGCCCCCTGCTCTTGCTAGTCCTAAGATGCTTCATCATGCCTTGATCGCACTCTAACTCTACCCATACTCTGTGGAAGTCGTGTCGTTAAACTCTTGTCAATTTCCTTGTTGGAGTGAGCCATCTGTTTCCTGCCAGGACGCTGAGTGACACATAGGGGAAAAAAACTTTGATGATTTTAAGCAAAAATGGAATCTGGGGAAGGCATGTTGGGAGTTACAGAAATTAGGGGAGGTAGGAGAACAAGCAGGAACCAGAGGACAGCTAGAAAGTCAAGGAGCAGGAATTGCAAGTAAAGTCATTCTGTGGGAAGAGCCCAGGCCACCCTGTGTCTTTGGCCACCTACTCAAGAGTCAGAGCTTCCAGAGAAGGTCCAATTGCTTGTGTCTCCCTCACACCTCCACTCCTAGGACGAACTGGGCAGAGGACAGGGAAGATCTGCAGACTAACCGTGGTAGGAAGTGAAGCCACTATCTACCCAGACCACACCCAGTGGGTGATTCCTTTAAAACAAGAGACCAGGGTGCTAATAGGAAATATCTCCTCCCCTCCCAAAGAAAGGACAAATATCACTACACGAATTAACAGAAGAATAGGAAACCACCTTTACAACAAACATCTAGAGTAGATTTTTTTCTTAAAAAAAAAACCCAGGCCTGGCGCAGTGGCTCACGCCTGTAATCCCAGAACTTTGGGAGGCCGAGGCGGATGGATCATGAGGTCAAGAGATCGAGACCATCTTGGTCAATATGGTGAAACCCCGTCTCTACTAAAGATACAAAAAATTAGCTGGGCATGGTGGTGCGTGCCTGTAATCCCAGCTACTCGGGAGGCTGAGGCAGGAGAATTGCCTGAACCCAGGAGGCGGAGGTTGCGGTGAGCCGAGATTGCGCCATTGCACTCCAGCCTGGGTCACAAGAGCGAAACTCCGTCTCAAAAAAAAAAAAAAACCAAAAAAAAAAACCCAAAGGTTCATGTAGAGATAGCCACTTCTCAATGAGAATTGCAGTAACAGAGAATTTCCATACCATTGTTAATCAATTTCCCATACATGAAAATTCTTTAAAAGGTTTTTAATTGGGTTACATGTAAAGTTGCTGGTTTTATCCTAACAAGGCATCCACCTGTCACACTATTTCAGAACTGTCCATTAAAGGGATTTTTTTGCCCAATATCCAACCATGTAAAAATTAGAGAACTCAGAGACCAACAACTTAAAAGTCAACTTACTCTAGGAATTCATGTTATCAATTTTGGGCTAGAAATTTTTTCTTCTTTTGAGACCAAGTTTTGCTCTTGGGAGTCCAGACTGGAGTGCAATGGCGCAATCTTGGCTCACCGCAACCTCTACCTCCCGGGTTCAAGCGATTCTCCTGCTTCAGCCTCCCAAGTAGCTGGGATTACAGGTAACTGCCACCATGCCCGGCTAATTTTTTTTTGCATTTTTAGTAGAGATGGGGTTTCACCACACTGACCAGGCTGGTCTTGAACTTCTGACCTCAGGTGATCTGCCCGCCTTGGCCTCCCAAAGTGCTGGGATTACAGGTGTGAGCCACCATGCCCAGCCTGATCCCAACAATTTTCATATCTTTTAGACCTTAAAGTTTCTTCTCTTTATAAGGGCTCCTTCTCTCAGATTTTGATATCTATCAGTTTTAGATATAAGAGTTAAGAATATAGTTTTATTAGGAACTGAAGAGAAGTAGCTTATTAGAGAAGTTTAAAGATATGCCATTGCCAGGTGAGGTGGCTCATGCTTGTAATCCCAGGACTTTGGGAGGCTGAGGCAGGCAGATCACAAGGTCAGGAGTTTGAGACCAGCCTGGCCAGCATGTTGAAACCCCATCTTTATTAAAATACAAAAAATTAGCATGGGCTACTCGGCTACTAGGGAGGCTGAGGCAGGAGAATTGCTTGAACCCAGCAGAAGGAGGTTGCAGTGAGCTGAGTTCATGCTACTTCACTCCAGCCTGGATGACAGAGTGAGACTCTGTCTAAAAAAAAAAAAAAGATAATTCCATTTTAGCCATTTTATTACATTTGTCCACTGTAGTATTTATAATTCATACAATTACTAAATCTAACATAAAATTTAGACTATTACTTTTATAGCTCTTTTGGCACAATGCTTTATCTCAATTCCAAAATTAACTTACTTCACAAAGACGGAGCTGATGAGTTATAAATCTGAATGTATACTTTACTTGTCATGAATGAAAGCAATACTTACTCATAACTGTCCCCTGGAGGTTTCTTGATACATTTACTGTTACAATGGTATCAATAAGAAGAAATTCTTTTTCTTTGAAACAAGATTATGTAGATGCCATGCCTATATTTTTAAGTTGATAATCTATATTATGTTAAATTAGGTTAGTTGGCAGTATAGATATTTTTATTTCCAGAATATTAATTTATTATGTATATGTGGAATAAACAGAACACTATCCAAGCCAACCAGAGTATTTCCAGAGCTACCAGGAGATGATTTTCTTTTCATGACAGGGTAATGAAAAACTGAGATGGATTTTTATGATACAATCAGACATTTAAAATTTTTTAGTTTAAGATGTAACTTGTCTCATATGCTTATATGTCTCATATGCTTCTTGTCTCAATATATAAGGAAAATTGTAAGGACACAGTAGAGAAGGTACATGGAGAAGGCTTACAGTTTTCACATATTTAAGCATCTGTGGTTATGTTCTCAATGGGGTACTCATCAATAACATGTCATCTTGTAATGCACATACACATGCTACTACCCTAAATATGTACAACTCCACATCTAATGGCCTATAGTACTTATTAGTTGCCTGGTAGAGACAAGAAAGCAGAAGATCTAGCCCTTCCATTCTAGGAGCTGATAGTATCTATACATCTTTGCCTTTCAATTTGAAAAACATTTTCTTTCTCTAACATAGTCTTGCTCTACTCAAAACCATTGAATAGGTCTTTCAAATTGAAATGGTGGGCTTGGAGCTGTTTTAATAACCAATATCCATAAAACAAAATCAGCAGATCTGAAACACTGATTAAAGGGACTTGGTATCCTGAACACCTAGAAACTGATGGTCAGGAAGAGGCTATTACTTCCTTTTACCAGCTCCTCACACCTTATATTCCTCTTTTACAGACTGGGATGTGGAAAAGGGGCTGGCCCACTCAACTGCCTGATCTCTCCGAATGCGCGTGCTCCATATGAATAAATGGAAAGAATAAATGAAAATGAGGCCACTGTTTTCCTGTGTCAGGACACTGTCAGCATGAGTAGGAATACCAATCACCAGGCATGCAAGATCCAGCAAGTTCCTATTCCGGTGCTGCTTTCTCTGCTAGATTAAGTGGCAGTTTGCAGAAAAGCAACATCCTGAAAGTTTACTAGCTATCTGCAAGTCAGGGAATACGACTGGGCACAGAAAAATAGTCTACTGCTGCTTCAGAAAGTATTTTATATACATTTTGAGGATGCTGCTTCCTTAGGAAGGAAAATATCTGATTTCTGGACTGAAGTATATACAAAGTTGGGGCCAAATCCAATGTGGTCTGTAGTTTACAAACGGTGAGATGTGAAAAAGGATGTGATGGCAGGTCCCATCTGTCTCATTCACCCCAGTTTCTGACATATAGTAGCCATTCAACAATAATTCTTGAATAAATGAATAACTGAACAAATAAATGAGCAGACTTCTTAATGAAAAATTCATTTTGAGTCGTTTTTCTGACTGCTGGTGGTTAAAAGCCAAGGGAAGACACAGTTCATAATGATTCTTTTAGCTGCAGCTAAATTTTGGTTAAGCAACACCAACATATGAAAATCTAGGCTCACAAAACAAACATATTAGAGTTACCATATTTACTATATGCTTTACAATTAAGTAGAAATATACCTTAATGTAGTGAGTTCCTAAATGCTGGCCTGTGACGTCTCCTTAAGTTCAGAGTGAAATGAGAAAAATCAGTGTGATGCATTGTTCATCCTGAGGCTGGTAAATTCAAGAAACTGTCATTTATTCAAAAATGGATCTTCCCCATTTCTGAGGTTAAAATACATTTTAATAAATGATGGGGATAGTCTATGCTAATTGTTCCCTTTTAATGCCCTTGCCAATATAAAGTCAAACCTATATTGACTCCCTAGCTTATCAGAAAATATTTTAGTGGACTGAGATCCAAATGTCAGTGACTGGCTTAGTTTCAAAATACGATTTATTTTATAAAAGCATACAAGTGTTTTTTTAAAAGAAACCTACCTATTGAATAAAGGAAGTAGTATAACCTTGGCTTTAACGCCCATGTTAGTAACAGCCAACAGGTGGCAAGTGGCTGCTCTCAGGGCACTGAGAGCAATGCCCAACTCTCAGGGCTTCTAAAATGTATTCACTTATTCAAATTTCATAGTAGCCCAAGGAGGAAGTACTGTTATTGTCTCCATTTTACAGATGAGGAACTCTAGGCATTGTCAACTCCATGTCCCAAAAGACACATAACACAGCTAGTAAAGTGGCAGAATTGGGATTCAAACAATGGCTCCAAGAACATATATATATTTTTTAATATATATTTTTAAATTTCTTTTTTTTTTGCCAAGAAGGCTGAGATTACCGTGAGCAGAGATCACACCACTGTTAAATTTCTTTTTATGGTTCCTCAGAGATCGCTGTTCTGAACATATATTCTTACAGTAAAAGAAACTGGGCCATAAGAGTACAACCAACAGGAAAACATTGTTATTATATTCTAATATTATGGAAATGAAGGTTCAATTAGCATACAGATTATAAACTCCAATACAGACATTATCTTATACTGAAGTCAGAGCCCCTCCCAATCTTTGTTTATTAACTCAATTCTTGATAACCTATTTTTAGCTTCAGTATTTACAGATATTATCTTAAGCAATATCCTTGTTTCTTAAGCTCTTGCTTTAATTAGACAATACCAAAAAACTCCCACAAAAAAAAAAAAAAAAAGAAAATATGGTATTTGCAATGGGGCGTTTCAACCGAGTAGGGGATTTAAGCGCAATAACTCATAAGCTTACTAATTAGAGTTAATTTAGGGCAAATTCAACCTTACAGTCAACAAATGTGTATTTCACTTTATATTAAGTTTGCTATTTAAAAGTATTACAATTTCAGCTTCTAAATGTACATATCTATCCCTAAAACAGCTGTTTCTTTAAAACAGGAAGATGACAAACTTTAGTAGGCACTCACATACTCCCTTGCAGAGTCAGAAACCCAAACATAACAGCACTTGGGCAAGTAGGTAAATGAGGAAGTACAGTTCATAATAAATGGACAGCAAAACCATGAGTCAGATTAGACATTTTGAATATAAAATGATCAAACCCCTCTCCCCCAAAACCCAAAACTTTTCAAATATACAGCAACTGTATCAGACAGTAATTTTGGCTTTAAAAACCTACAGTACTCTTGGTAATAGTAGAAATGACTCATCTGGTTGGTTAAAGTTAGGTTTCTATCATTCCATTTAACATCATTTACCAAATGCTGCATTTCATTAATGGAGCTGTTATTTTTTTCTGATAGTAATGAAAAACAGGTTTTAACATTAATAAGCCCGGGGTCCACCAGAAAATATCAGTGAATCAAGAGGTCCCGAAGCTTTTGCAGTTTAAGGGAACTTTGTAGATTAAATTTCCACCCTCCAGTCCTGAGAGCTGTTGTGTGGACACCCAGTCCGAATACCTTGTTGAGCATACAGGACAGTAATTTCCGATCATGCAGGTAACTCCTGCACAAACTCTTCGTTCTAGTTGCTGGCTTCTGCTCAAGTACCCATCCCTAGTCCATATGCCCTAGAAAAACATAGGAACCAGTTCGGGACGTAGTTATCCATCTAGCACCCCACGCTCCTCCTCAAGACTAAATCTTGCCCCAGCCCAGTAAGGCCCAGCCCACTACAATCCTGCTCCTGCTCTCCAAACTTCCCCCGCCCACTCCCCCCACGTGACCAGGAACCCCCCTCCCCCCCAACCCCACTTGAAGTTCCACCAATCAGCAACCACCTCCGCCCAGAACCGGGGACCTGGCGCTCCTCTTTCAAAAGGCAGCTTAAACCTCCCGCTCTTAGCCACGCCCTCTTTTCGCTACCCCGCCCCGCCGGCCCCTACCACTCCCCCCAACTCCCCATTCCCCTCCTCCCCTCTGGTGGCGTCCTCCCGCTCCCGGGTTTCGCCCCGCCCCACAAGGAGTAGCGCGCTCGCCCTCTTCTCGCGAGATCTGAGCGTCCCCGCCGCGGCCGCCCGCTTCCCCCTCCCGTCCTCCCACCTCCCTCCCCCCGCATCTCTCACTCTCCGGCTCTCCTCCCTCCCTCCTCCCCCCTCCACCCTCTGGGCCGGATCTCGTCTCGCTCAGGCGGAGGAGGAGAAGGAGGAGGAGGAGGACGACGTTCGGCCTGCGCAGTGAGATGTTTGTCCGTCGCCGCCGCCGCCGCCATCGCGGAGGAGCGCGATAAAGGGAGCGAAGCCGGGCCTGAGGGGGACCCCGTGGAGCAGCCGCGCCAGCGCAGCCCCCCAGCCGCGTCGGAGCCGCCGGAGCCCGAGCCGCCGCCGTCCCCGCCGCCGCCGCGGCTGCTCAGGGGCCGGCCAGCTCCCTAGCCCTGCCCGGGTCCGCTCCGCCACCGCCCCCAGCGTCGCCCCTCGCCTGCCCGCCCGCCTTAAATGTGACACCGGCGCCGCGGAGCGCGACCTGAAGCCGCCGCCGGGTAGGGGACGAGCACCATGTCGAATCTGAGCAAAGGCACGGGCAGCCGGAAGGACACCAAGATGCGGATCCGGGCCTTTCCGGTGAGTCTCTCCCCGGCGTCCGGGACCCCGGGGCCGGGGGCCGAGCCGAGAGCCGCACGCGAGGCCCGGGCTGAACTCCCCCAACAGGCCGCAGGCCCGGCCTCCCCTCCCCCACGCCCGCCGGCCGCGAGGCGCGAGCCTTCCCAGCAACCGGGCGGCGCGGGGCCCCGGCGCGGCCGCCCTCCCGGGCCGTTCCCCGCGCCGGGAGCCCGGGCCTGGCCCCGCGCCCCCGTCTGCGAGCTGCTTCTCCAGCCGCCTCGTGGGCGTTGGCTGCGGCCGGAGCCCCTCGGCCGCCCCACGCCTCCCCACGTTGCCGGGGTGTAGGGCCAGTCTCCGGCTTTGCTGGCCGCGGCGGAGTCCTCCCTGTGTGGGGCATGTGTGCAACTTTTCACGTGGGGTTTCGCTGCACTTTCCAAAATAACCCAGTCTAGCTTTTAGGGTGATGAAAGGGCTGCCCTCTCTGTCCCCCTCCCCAGGAAGGGCTCTGCCCTCAACTTGCCTCCGACGCAGTGACAGTGGTTGCACGGAATGCTCTGTGATCATAAACTAGTAACATGGGGTGTATTTCATCCCGCAAGCCTCCTAAGCACTTTACAAACTCTTGTGCAGGATTGCCTCGCCACTCCGAGGAAGGCCGGGGGAAAGCCACAGGGAGCAAACCGGGCAATTGGTTCTCCATTTCTCAGCCTTGGGAGCCCAAAGAATGAGCTTAGTCGCCTTGTGGAGTTGCTTTCTTTCATCGGTTTCAGTGACAGCAAACGCGTTCTGCTCAGAAACTTACTTTTTTGGCATTAGGTTGAGTCGTACCCTTTCAGTGTTTAGGACATAGGGTATAACTTTGGGTGTCATATCTGATTCAGATACCTGATGGCAAGCAATTAAAATGTACTCTTGTTAACAAACTGGACATACTTGCCCATGTTGCTACAATAAAAGGCATACATCAAGACAGACCAACTAGCAATCGGACAGAAGATTTTAAAAAGTAAAATTAGAGAAAGATCTTGGTCTTCCCGTCTTAGATTCGCAAATACTTCATATGATGTGCAGGCATAAGAGAGGGATTTATTGTCACTTTTTAAAGCATGCTTTTCCTGAAGTGCCCTTGTAGTGGGGAAAAGACTTGTTATCTAAATATGATTGCCCCAGTTGAGTCAAGTAATTTAGTCCCAGAGAACCTGAGGACCTCTGAATTCCTAAAATTGAAAAGGATACACCTGATGTAGAATTCTGAAATGCAAGAACATTAATACTAAAGTCAGTGTGAGGAAGCTTCTGCTTTCTGTAAATAGGTACGATGTATTTGGGAGAATTAAGTGTTTTTGATAATAAAGGCTTTTTGAATGTTTCAAACTTTTTTCTAAGTAAACGTGAGAAATTACATCAGGAAGTCAGCAGTGTTGACAGAGTACTAACGAAGTTCACTAGTATGTTTTCCTTTATAATTGGGCAAAGAGCTGGCTTTATGAATTTGTGAGTAATATTAATAATTTTCCTGCTAAATTCTGACCATTTTAAAGTAGAGTTTAGAATTTAGAATTTTATGAAGTTAATAGTTTTGTACAACAGATTTTCTAGGAGTGTTTGCGGTCCTACACTCCTCATTCTTGAATTCGAAAGTTCTAAAGATTTTTTTCTAAAACGTGGAGTAACTCACATTTGACATCGACTCACTCAGGTTAATGGCCTTCTGATTGACCAGTTGTACTTCCATCTGTGTTTAATCAAACTCTTTGATGTCTACAGGTTTCCCTGATCTTACCTGTTTTGCCATCATTTCATTTGTTCAACAAATACTGAATATTATGTGCCAGGCGGTCTTGTGAGGGTTTGTCAGTATAGCTAAAAAGACCAAGATCCCTGCCTTCTGGAGCTAGTATTGTTGAGGAGAAGAGATGGGAGAGAATTTCATATTCCTTTAGCTGACCAGTATAATAAAATTGTGTGATAGCTTACCACGTAGTACTGGAACTGAATTTTTTTTTTTTTTTTAGCTTCGTTTATGGTTATGAGCTAATTTGGGCCTATTCTGTCTATAACTTCTCTTTCAGGTTATATGTAAGTGACTAGTTTTGATATTCAGTAGTTAATAGCTGTTGATTTCTAAAATTTTTCATTACTGTTTAATAAGTATTAATAACATTCATAAGTGGTTCCCATTGAAAATAACAATTCTAGTTTGGCCGGGCGTCTGTGGCTCACGTCTGTAATCCCAGCATTTGGGGAGGCCGAAGCAGGCAGATCATGAAGTCAGGAGATCGAGACCATCCTGACCAACACGGTGAAATCCCATCTCTACTAAAATACAAAAAATTAGCCGGGCATGGTGGTGGGTGCCTATAGTCCTAGCTACTGGGGAGGCTGAGGCAGGAGAATTGCTTGAACCCAGGAGGCAGAGGTGGTGCCATTGCACTCTAGGCAACAAGAGTTAAACTCTGTCAAAAAAAAAAAAAAATTATAGTTTGAGACTTGGTTACAGATAGCTATATATCTCAGTGGTATGGTATTTCATAGATTTATCTTGTTAACCATGTGCTTGTAGACCTTCAAAATTCCAGTCTTCCAGATTGGCAGTTTTATACATAACTGCAGACTGCATGAGTTGATGGTCAAAAGTAGTTAATGCATAGTATTACATAAAGAAAAAATATGGCCAGGCAGGTGAATCACCTGAGGTCAGATGTCTGAGACCAGCCTGGCCAACATGGTGAAGTCTCGTCTCTACTGAAAATACAAAAAAAGTGGGGCCTGGTGGTGGATACCTGTAGTCCCAGTTACTCGGGAGGCTGAGGTTGGAGAATCGCTTGAATCTGGGAGGCGGAGGTTGCAGTGAGCTGAGATCACACCATTGCACTCTAGCCTGGGCAACACAGATCAAGCCATAGCACTCCAGCTTGGACAACAAAAGTGAAACTGTCTCAAAAAAAAAAAAAAAGAAATATTGTTTATGGTTATACATAGGTACATCGTTGTTTATGGTTACACATATGTACATATTTAAAAATTATTGTATTTTACATCTGTTATTTGGATATATAGCTACTGTAATTTAAGAGAAATTATAGTTTCACCGAAAGTCCAGGCATAGTGGCTCACACCTGTAATCCCAGCACTTTGGGAGGGTGAGGTGGGCAGATCACCTGAGGTTAGGAGTTGGAGACCAGTCTGCCCAACATGCAAACCCCTGCCTCTGCTAAAAATACAAACATTTGCCAGGGGTGGTAACATGCACCTGTAATCCCAGCTACTTGGGAGGCTAAGGCATGAGAATCACTTGCACCCGGGAGGCAGAGGTTGCAGTGAGCTGAGGTGGTGACACCAGCCTGGGTGACAGAGCAAGACTTGTCTCAGGAAAAAAAAAAATTGTATATGTTTAAGGTGGACAACATGAGGTTTTGATAATTGTATACATTGTGAAATGATTACTACCATGAAGCTAACTTATAATCACCTCATAAATACTTGTTTTTTTTTAATGTCTGTGTGATGAAAACAATTAATGTCTACTGTCCTAGCAACTTTCAAATATACAATATAGTATTATTAACTATTCTTACAGTGCTGCACATATGATCTCCACAATTTATTCATCTTACAGCTTGTACCCTTTGACCAAAATCTACCCCCCAACTCCCCCAACCCCCGTTTCTCTCATTCCCCAGCCTGGACCACAGAGCGAGACTCTCCTGAGTCTCAGGTGCATTTCAGACTGTTTTACAAAATTGACTTGTAAAAAAGTGTAGAATTATGTTTTGAGATTGTTTTCATTGCAAAATAGAGTGGTAATTGAACTTATAGAATATTTTACAGATGCATAATATTATTCCAGATAAATTTTCAAAAGTAAAATCAGATTCTTTGTAGTGTTTTGAGTGCATTTTTTTCTTTTTCAAGACAGAGTCTTGCTCTGTCACCCAGGCTGGAGTGCAGTGGCATAATCTCAGCTCACGGCAGCCTCCACCTCCAGGTTTCAAGCGATTCTTACACCTCAGCCTCCTGAGTAGCTGGGACTACAGGTTTGCGCCACCATATCTGGTTAATTTTTGTATTTTAAGTAGTGACGGCATTTTGCCATATTGGCGGGGCTAGTCTTGAACTCCTGACCTCAGGTGATCTGCCCACCACAGTCTCCCAGAGTGCTGGCTGGGATTACAGATATGAACCACCACACCCAGCCTTAGTGCATATTTTAAGTATACCCTCATCATTGTAGGAGTTCTAATACACCACAGTTTAATGCACAATTTGCATTTTTAAGTAGACCTTTTCATAGAAATTATTTTTAAAGTGGAAGACAATAAGGAAGTTTCTATATTTGTAAACTTTTGACAAAGGAAAAGTTTATTCCAGTTTATGAGCTTTCCTGCATTGCACAAAATATATAATTTCACATCTTTTTTGATAATTTAAACTTTTTTTTGTATGCAAAGGAACAGCAAGGACCACAAAACTTTTAAAGAAGGGAGGCAGTAGTTGTGAAACTCGTGGAAATAATGTGGGTTTGGACCAAATATTTTTGTCTCACGGAGTCTCTTCCTTACTCCTGGGCTTTGTTTCACTATGTAGGATTAGTTGCTGTCAGATAAACCTTTTGTCTTTAACTTTGAAAAGTCATTTCTTACCATTTTTACTGTCTGGGTTTTGTCCACATGGGTTTGACAAGCTTGGTTGGAATTGGAGGGGTAAAGTTTGAATGAAAATGCTGTCCTCTCCTCTATCAAACAGTAATGAAGCCTTTCTTGGCTTAGTCTTCAGAGTTTGGGAAACCTGTTACGAAGGCGACTGTCTCCAGGATGTAATCAGGCTCTTAAGACCTCTACCTGGGGGTCCTGGAAATTGTTTCAGTTAGTTTCTAAAAGCATACTAACTCATCATGAGAAAGAGTGTTATGATAAAATGCCCACTCCCTAATGCTCGATGGACTCCACCTGTGTAACATGGGCAGCAAATGTTTGGAGGTGATTGTTAGCTAGAACATACAGAGCAACTTACATTAGTGA